CAACCACTACATGTATACCGTGTGCATTTTACATTACAACAGATATATCAACCACCAGATGTATAGCGTGTGCATTTTACATAACAACAAAAATCTCAATCACCAGATGTATAGCGTGTGCATTTCACATAACAACAGAAATCTGAACCACCAGATGTATAGCGTGTGCATTTTACACAACAACAGATATATCAACCACCAAATGTATAGTGTGTGCATTTTACATAACAACAGATATCTCAACCACCAGATGTATAGCGTGTGCATTTTACATAATAACAAAATTCTTAACCACCAGATGTATAGCTTGTGCATTTTACATAACAACAGATATATCAACCACCAGATGTGTAGCGTGTACATTTTACATTACAACAGATATCTCAACCACCAGAGTTATAGCGTGTGCATTTTACATAACAACAGATATCTCAACCACCAGATGTGTAGCGTGTGCATTTCACATAACAACAGATATCTCAACCACCAGATGTATAGCGTGTGCATTTTACATAATAACAAAATTCTTAACCACCAGATGTATAGCGTGTGCATTTTACATAACAACAGATATATCAACCACCAGATGTGTAGCGTGTGCATTTCACATAACAAGAGAAATCTCAACCACCAGATGTATACCGTGTGCATTTTACATAACAACAGATGTCTCAACCACCAGATGTATACCGTGTGCATTTCACATAACAACAGATATCTCAACCACCAGGTGTATACCGTGTGCATTTCACATAACAACAGAAATCTCAACCACCAGGTGTATAGCACGTGCATTTCACATAACAACAGAAATCTCAACCACTACATGTATATCGTGTGCATTTTACATAACAACAGATATATCAGCCACCAGATCTATAGCGCGTGCATTTTACATAACAACAGATATTTCAACCACCAGATATATAGCGTGTGCATTTCACATAACAACAGAAATCTCAACCACTACATGTATACCGTGTGCATTTACATAACAACAGATATCTCAACCACCAGATGTATAGCGTGTGCATTTCACATAACAACAGAAATCTCAACCACTACATGTATACCGTGTGCATTTACATAACAACAGATATCTCAACCACCAGATGTATAGCGTGTGCATTTCACATAACAACAGAAATCTCAACCACTACATGTATACCGTGTGCATTTTACATAACAACAGATATCTCAACCACCAGATGTATAGCGTGTGCATTTCACATAACAACAGAAATCTCAACCACTACATGTATAC